GAGAAAGGGCAGAAGCTTTTTGCCCAATACTTCTGAGAGGCCAGAAGTTGCACTTCATGGGTCAAGGCAAGAATGTGGAAGAGAAAGACAAAATGGTTCTTCCTACAGTCCTGGTTCCCCACCTCACATACAACTCATGATTTTGATACCAGACTCAGAGTTTTCTCTGAAATCCAAGTCTTCTCATCATTCTAGAAACTTCAGTGCCAAAGACCCATCCAAATATTCTTACCTTCAGTGATGTTCATCTGCCCTCCAGATCCAAAAACATTTCCTGTGGTCATATATGAAACTTGAACTGCCCAGATTTGACATCTTAAACTTCCAATCTTATTATTCTTTTATAATACTTTTCTATCTTACTAGTTCTTACACATCTCTACCTATTGTGTGTGTGTGTGTGTGTTTTTTTTTTTTTTTTGGCTCCCATGGACACTTAAGAGTCCCTGAAACTCTTTCTTCTTTCAAAGTATCACCGCCCTTCTGTTTGTATTATTGTCCATCCCAGACACCAGGGTACATAAATTCAACCACTCTCTTGTCAGTACTCTCGGCTTTCCTACCATTTGTCATTTCCCTGTATCCAGTCGTCATGGCTTCAAATCAGGAACAATCCAAGAACCTGTCTTCTGTATTCCAACGTGTGGGATACTGGAAGAAACAATCACAACCATGAATACTAACATTACAAATAATAGAAGTGTGCATGTTGTTGTCATTAATAATAATAATGTACACTTATTTTTATTCATAATATAAACCCAAGTAATTCTTTAGGGAAACACAAGTTTTTATGATACTAGGTTTGGCAAAAATTGCTCCCAAAGTTTACCTAAAGAGAATAATATACATAATATACATACACACATATTTACATACCTAATAAACATATATACACACATGCAATAAACATAATATATTGGACATACTGTAAACAAAATAGTATTTTAGAGCTGTATACAACATACAATCAGTGACATCACATGAAAGTTTGCCTCCATAAAGACAATTTTAGGGGGCCTGCATAATATGATCTCAGCACATTTGGCTAGCAAATTTACCTAATCCATGGAACAATCTTTTCATCATTCAGCCTTCTTGTTTGCAAAAAAGAGAAAATGAACTCTAACTTAGAAGCAAAAAAAAATTTTTTTTTGTTGGAAGGATTTCACACAGAATTCATAAAAAGTTTGGAAAACTGGGCTTAAGGAAAAGGTGGGAAAAGAAAGGCAAGCCCCAGGAAAGATCCTATCATAGGAGTAGCCTGCACACTGCTGCCCTTAGATAGACTACAGACTTTCACCCCTATTTTCCTGACCCACTTCTGCTGCCACCACTGTGGCAGATAATCTGATTGTCTTTGCATCTTGCTTCACCTTCTCATGATACAAGGTCCCAGGATAATAGATCATCCAATAGATCAAGCCTAGATCGCATGTGGACTTTAGCGTCTAGAGAGTGCACTTTGGTGTTTCTAGGGGGAAGCAGGACCCTGCCTCTCCTCTATCTTGGGATTTCCCCAGTATAGGAAGGGTATTTGGAAGTTGAGCTGCCAAGGATAGCAAGTGTCCACTCTATCCTTGAAGCAGTCCTCCCTAAATATTGTTTATCTTGGCCAAGATTTTGATCGGTATTGGACAGCATGAGTTCAAGATTGTATTTGCTGACAACTACCTGGAGTGCTGCTAGTCTATGTTGCCAATTAAATAAAGACCCATATGCTTTAACAGACAGTTGAATTGGGAGTAGGATTGATATCCTCTTGTGAAGATTGAGTTGCCTAATATAGACACACGGCTGACTAGGAAGTCCACCCCTGGTGCTCGAGAAACTGTAGGAGTACTTACAGGCATGGCCAAGAGTCCACTTTAAAAAATGATTGTGATTTGCTCTAATGTACAGACAAAGAGAACATTTATTTTACATGTAGCAAAACCATAATAATATTAGCCTGGCATATTTTAAGAAATGTATAACCAATGCCTCCTTAGCCATGAAAAAAATTCAGTAAAGATCCCATAGAATAGAATGCCTAGCTTTGAAAATTGCTTACAGCGTATTGCTGCTATTTGGTATACTTTTCAAAAGAAGATATTTGAGGAGTATACTCCAGGATAAATAAAAGAGGAAACTTTCATGAAATTTTTCTTTTGAATAATGTGGATATGAAAAATTTTATGTTAAAATTTTATACTGAATAGATAATAATATGGTCACATGGTTCAAAATGGTATGGAGTATGAAATCTCTTACCCCATCTGTCCAGTGATCTCCAACATACTTAACCACTTAAATTGGTTTTTGTATTTCCTTCCAGAGTTACATTTATGCAAACATAAACAAATATGTATGTGTAGTCCTGTTTACCCCCTTTTTAAAAACCAAAAGTAGCATACTATTTTTACTTTTCTGTTCTTTTTTTAAAACTTAATAATAGATACTGGAGATCTTTTTCTAGAAGTAAGTAAAAAACTTTCTTGTTCTTTTGAATTACATTTTATTATATAGATGTACCATAATTAAAAAAAAGAACTAGTCCTCTATTGAAGGAGACTTGAATTGTTCCCTATCTTTTGCTATTATATACAGTGCTGTAATATGTCAACTTGTACATATTCTGCACACATGTAAGTTTAAATGTAGGCTATATATCCAGAAGTGGAATCATTGAGTCAGAAGATATATGCATTTGTAATTCTGATAAATATTGCTATATTATACCAATTAATCCTTCCACCAGTGTTAAATGAGATCCCCTATTTTCCTATGGACTCTCCAGCAGTGGTTTTATTATAATTTTGATTTTTTTTCAAATCTGATAGGTAAAAATGGTATCTGAGTATAGTTTTAGTTTATTTAATTTGTTTATCTTGCCTTGAGTGAGGCTGGGAATCTAGTCATATATTTAAAAACATTTACATTTCCTTTCCTGGGACTTATCTGATCTTATCTTTTGCTCTTTTTGTTATTGGGTATTGGTCTTTTTCTTATCAATTTTTATGAACTCTTATAAATTTGTGAGATTAACCCTTTGCTTGTGATATGATTTGCAGATATTTTTTGACCAGTTTGTTATTATCTCATTACGTTGCTTATGGTATTTTTTGCATCATTCAGAAGGTTTATTTTTTATTTTGATTTCTCCCATGAACTCTGGATTTTGAGTCATGGTACTATTCTGGCTTATGGTTTTAAATCTTGATTAACTTTAAATTTATGCCATAGTCTGAGGTATGGATATCTTTTTTTTTTTTTTTTCAGGTGATCCCCCTCTCCTAAGACTATTGAATAATCCATCTTGTCCCTTCTAGCCTTAGATGCTAATAAATCTAGTCCTGTTCAGTGGATGGCTTTCCTCTATTCAGAGCTTACAGAGACTAAGGCTCCTTTTGGTTTTTGGTTTCACCATCCCATAGAGCCTTACTGTCCTCTACATTTAGCCAGAGAAGGATACAGTATGAAAAAACCCCAAAAAACCTACATTTTAAAAGTTTTGTCTGGGAAGTGACACACAGTGCTTCTGCTTATATTCATTGGTAAGAACTAGTCATGTCATATCTCTCTATATCTATCTATCTATATCTATCATCTCTATTCAATTATATGTATATATATACATATTATATATATATATTTTTTCTCCCACCCCCCCATAAGTATTCAGTCAAGTCATCAGGATTTTCATATGATTGCATTGACTGGCCCATTCAGTCCATGTTTAAGAATAGTGGTGATAGTAGCTTACTTCTTCCTGACTGTAGTATCAATACGTTTCCTATAAAGCATGCAGGCTTTGGGGCCACAAAAGAAATATTTTATCATATTCAGTAAGTATCTTTGTATTTCTATTTCATTCAGTTTTTTTCTTTAGTCAAAAATAGATTTTTCAAATCCTATTCAGCACCTTAAAGTTTTTTTGTTATTAGAACCAATAAAGGTTTTATATTAATAGCTTCAAACTAATGCATTTATGAAACGAATCCCACTTGATAATTTCCAACCATCCTTGCACTTCTGGAACAAATCTTACTAGGTGTTTATGTATTCATCTTTTATTTATTTATATAAAGATTTTATTTATTTATTTGACAGAGAGAGACACAGCGAGAGGGGGAACACAAGCAGGGGGAGTGGGAGAGGGAGAAGCAGTCTCCCCGCTGAGCAGGGAGCCTGATGTGGGACTCGATCCCAGGACCCTGGGATCATGACCTGAGCCGAAGGCAGACGCTTAACGACGGAGCCACTCAGGTGCCCCAGTATTCATCTTTTAATGTACTGCTGGATTATATTTAGTAATATTTTACTTAAGATTTTTGCGTAAATTTTCTTAAATGTTATTGATCTGTGGTTTTCTTTTTTGTGCAGTCTTTTTTTTTTTTTAAAGATTTATTTATTTATTAGAGAGAGAGTGAGTGAGCATGGGGAGGGGCAGAGGGAAAGGGAGAGAGAAACTCCAGCAGACTCCTCATTGAGCTCAGAGCCTGACGCGGGGCTCCGTCTCAAGACCCCAAGATCGTGACCTGAGTTAAAACCAAGAGTCAGAGGCTTAACAGACTGTGTCACCCGGAGCCCCTTTTTTTTGTGCAGTCTTTGTCAGGCTTTGTGTTAATGTTACACAATATCATACAAATATATGGACATTTTCTTTCTATCTCTTTGCAGTTGGGCAGTTCAAGTAGCACTGGACACCCTTTCTTTAAGGTTTTCATAAAATTCTTGGAAACTATTCTTTTTTTGGGGTTGGGATGGACAGGTTACTCTTTAGCAATTTCTCCAGTTGCTTCTATGGACATTGGTCTGTTAACATTTTCTGTGTTGTTTTTGTTCAGTTTTGGTAAATTATACAGTTGAGACTTGAACAACGAGGGCTTGAACTGCGTGGGTCCACTTACACAGGAATTCTTTTTCAATAAATACAGTAGTGCTGTAAATGTATCTTCTCTTCTGTATGATTTTCTTTTCTTTTCTTTTTTTTTAAGATTTTATTTATTTATTTATTTAGAGAGTTCATGTGAGTGGGGGAAGGCCCAATGCAGGGCTTGATATCACAACCCGGAGATCATTACCTGAGCTGAAATCAAGAATTGGATGCCCAACTGACTGAGCCACCCACCCAGGTGCCCCATTCCTTATGATTTCTTTCTTTCCTTTTTTTTTTTAAGGTTTTATTTATTTATTTATTTATTCATTTTTTTTTTTTAAGATTTTATTTATTTATGTGAGAGAGAGAGAATGAGAGACAGAGAGCATGAGAGGGAGGAGGGTCAGAGGGAGAAGCAGGCTCCTCGCTGAGCAGGGAGCCCGAAGCGGGACTCGATCCCGGGACTCCAGGATCATGACCTGAGCTGAAGGCAGTCGCTCAACCAACTGAGCCACCCAGGCGCCCTTTAAGGTTTTATTTATTATTAGAGAGAGAGTGCATGAGAGAGAGGAAGAGGGAGAGAGAAGGAGCAGGGGCAGAAGCAGACTCCCCACTGAGCAGGGAGCCCAATGTGGGACTTGATCCCAGGACCTGGAGATCATGACCCGAGCTGAAGGCATACACTCAACCAACTGAGCCACCCAGGCACCTCTCCTTATGATCTTCTTAATAACATTTTCTCTTCTCTAGTTTACTTTATTGTAAGAATACAGTATATAATACATATAACATACAAAATATGTGTTAATTGACTGTTTATGTTGTTGATAAGGCTCAGCAGTAGGCTATTAGTAGTTAAGTCTTTGGGGAGTCACAGTTATACATGGATTTTTGGCAGTGTGGAGTCAGTGCCCTGGCTCCCATATTGTTCAAAGGCCAACTGTATTTGAATATATATTGTTATCTTTATTGGTGTTCTCTAAAAATTTTGCTGTTTTGGTTTATATTTTTTCTTTGACCTGACAGTTATTTTGTAGAGAGTTTTAAAATTTCCAGATGTAAAAGCCTTTCTATTTCTGAGTTTGTTAATTTCCAATGTTATTACATAGTGATCACACTCTTGCCTGTTTTATTTCTGTTCTCTAGAATTTACAGGTTGAATGTAAAAGCATTTATGACAATCCAGATGTCCTATGTCAAGCCAGGTATTAACAGTATTTGCAAAATATGTAACATAATTCTATTCTTTACACTAAACTTTTGTTTTGGAAAATATAGTTTTTCCCTTAAAATATATTATTTATGGTAACATTTACTGACTTGTTATTTTTAAATGAATTTAAAAAACTAATAATGAATTTATTTATATAATAAATAATAAATAAATAAAATTTCAGTTTTAATTTCCAAAACAATAAATATCAATAGATATCATCTACACAAACAGACACTCTTTGGGGTCCTCTATAATTTTTAAGAGTTTAGGGAGTGTGGGTCCTGAGGCCAAAAATGTTTGAGAACTGTTGCACTATAGAATTGGGTTTTGCTTTGTGATCCATTCTAAAAATATTTTTCTTCTAATGATTGAATTAAACTCATTTGCACTTACTAATATAACAGATGTTTGCTTTTAATTTTAATTTTTAATTCATAATAATTTTCATCTTATGTTTTCCACTTTAATAATTTTTCAAAAAGTCTTTACTCTGTTTTTTCTTATCCTTTTTTTTTGTGTGTAATTCTTCTGTTCTTATAGAAGTTTTATGTTTTTATCTTAACAGTTCCTTTTATAACTACACCTTTATGTAGTATGTTTAGTCCTCTTATTTTAAACAGTATCTGTTGTTTCCCTACTCTGAGCAATGATAACATTAGTGTGTTTTCTTTGTTTTCCTTCACACTCCTTCACCATCTTATTTTAGTTAATTATGTAATTTTTCTTAGTGTTACTGTTGTACTGCTAAATATGCTTATACTTAAGTTGTGATGTATCAACTTAGAAAGATATCTTTGAATTCAATTATTATAAATGAAGCAATTGGTGAACATACCAATTCTCCCAATTTCCTCGTCTCCATGAAAATTCTTTCTGGATTTATTTTTAGGTTCTTTCATCTCAAAGTGCTGTCCAGTTTTTTCCCTCTTTGCTTCAAATGCATGCTTCTTTATTTTTCTGAGATAGTAGCTCATCATTTTTTATTCTTTATCTTCAACATCTCCTTTTCTATAGACAGTTTTCTTTCATCATATGCATATTCTGAAGTCTTTATCATCTTAGAAAATAACAAAAAATTTCTTATTCTCTCTCAACTACAGCAGCTTTTGAGATCTTTTCTTTCCTCCTTACCCAGACTCTCAAAATGAATAATATATGCTTTGTTATAAGTCATTCACTCATGAACCACCACAATCTGGCTTCCACTTTCAATCACAGTATTGAAAGCATTCTTTTCATGATTACTAGTAATTTCTTGCTTTTTTTCAGTTGTGTCGTACGTGGCCTCTCTGTAGTGTTTGATCATGCTGACCACTGTGTCCTTTCTTGTTTTTCATGATAGCATAGTATCCTGATTTTCTTCTTACTGCTCCAACTTCTGAATTTTCTTAGTGTATTTCTCTTCTCTTTGTTCCTGCTCCTCAGGAATAAAAATTATATATATTTGGTTATCTTCTTTTCTTTTTCTAATCTTCTTGGGAGATAGCACCTATTCATATGGCTTTAATTTCCATCTTAAAGTAGTTCAAGAGCTTTGATCCTCAGAAATTTATTTAAAAAAATCTGTGGCTTTAGCATAGCACACAGATTTTTATTTTTAAAAATTTTTTAAAAGATTTATTTATTTATTTGAGAGAGAGAGAGAGAGAGAGCAAGCAGGAGGAGCAGCAGAGGAGAGGGAGAAGCAGGCTCCCTGCTGAGCATGGAGCCCAATGCGGGGCTCCACGTGGGGCTCAATCCCAAGACCCTGGGATCATGATCTGAGCCGAAGGCAGATGCTTAACCGACTGAGCCACCCAGGTGCCCTGTGCACACAAAATTTTAAATATCTGACCTTTGTTTCTTTTCATTGCTTTTGGGAAAAATTATATATGCTCACTGTAAGTAATTCAAACAATGTGAGAAAATATAAAAATTAAAGTAAAAAAAATAGCCTAAATACTATCATTCAGAAATTACTATCATTAACCTTAGATAAATATTATTCCAGGTATCTTTCTTCATGCAGAACTTTATGCAGATAATTTTCTTCCTATATGCAGAACTGTACACATACATATTTATGCACACACACATGTATATGTATGTATAGGCAGAACTATAGACATAAAGAGATAGTGCAGGATGGAAGATAAAAAAATATTTTTATAAAAGTAGATCATAGTGTAGATTCTATTTTAAATATTAAATTTTATCTTATGTGAATTTAATAGAGGTAAAAGAGACCAAAGTTAAAGTAAAGCAATGTTGAATTTCAAATAAATGCCTCTTTACCACAGGATTTATTTCTTTTAAGATTCTGATTAATGATTTAAAAAGATTATGACAAAACTAAGAAGCTAGAGCATTATGTCTTATTAAATGACTGTTTTAATTTTAGACAGAATTGATTGACACTCTGCTGTGAAAAGTGAGAATATTAGCTCTCTTTTACATCTTCCTGGCTTACCACCCTCCAACTTTTTAAGTTATATGATTATTGTTACATTTTCTATGTTTATGATATCCATGGTCTATTAACCGTAATTCCTGCAGTTGTTCTGTTGTTCTTTATTAGTAATATATATATAAATGAGTTCACTGTCAACAATCTTGTGTTTTATTTTTATTTGTTTTTAGACTATGGCTTTTTTATTCCTCCATTCTTTAGTTTGGTTAATGTCTTTTTTTTTTTTAAAGATTTTATTTATTTATTTATTTGAGAGAGAGAGAGAGAGAAACAGCATGAGAGGGGATAGGGTCAAAGGGAGAAGCAGGCTCCCCTCTGAGCAGGGAGTCCGATGCGGAACTCGATCCCAGGACTCCGGGATCATGACCTGAGCCGGAGGCAGTCGCTTAACCAACTGAGCCACCCAGGCGCCCAGTTTGGTTAACGTCTTAAATGGCTGATTGGCAAGATGGAATAGTGTCTTTTGTAATCTCTGTGTTCCTTAAAATTTGAAGATGCCTGACTCTTGTCTTTGTATTTGAATAACATATTGACGCTGGCATAGGTCAAAGTTCACAGTTGCAGGCAATGGAGTCCCTCTAGAGGGTTCAAGTAGGAAAAAGTTATTAGGCTCACAAAATTAGTGGGGGAGCAAAAACAATAGGCTTTAGGCAGAGCTTTGCTGTTTTGAGTTCTCTGGCAGTAGACAGAATTTTGGGCATAAAATATTTATTAGGGAATAACACCTGTGAGAGGAAATGGGGGAAGTAAGAATGTGCAGAGGAAGAAGTCAAACTGCTGTGCAGACCCAGTAAAGCCTTAGCCCAACTGTGGGGACCTACAGGCACCACAACTCATCTTTAGCACTGTTTAGGTCCACTTCTCCCTGTATGTTTGGGACCTAGCTCTATCTGGTGTCTGATGGTCCTCTCTTTCTGCGGGGAGCCTTAGAAGAGGGAGGTTAGTAAGACAAGCTATAGTCTCTGTCACTGCAGTCGGTCTCTGTGCTGCAGTTGATACTGTTTTTTCCTTCCACTATCTAGTTTAAATTTCTCTAACCCTCGCTGGCTACTCTGTTGGCCTCAACGGCTTATCTAGTGACATGAGCCAGGCCTTGATGGGTCTGTGACCCTGATCACCATTCCCTTCTCAGGGAAGTTTGCTGTAATTGGCTATTTATAGTGACAGTCTGGCACGAGAGTACCAAAAGGTACCCAAGAGAATTATGTGTTTCACTCCTATTTTTCCCTGCCCCAATAGGTAACAGTAGTCTTATCTTCTTCTGATAACCAAGATGGTGATCTCTTTTCTTGCCTACTGGCACTTGGACATAAGGATCCCAAAGGTGCCCAGGTAGCAGCCCAAAGCTTATAATATAGTGGGGTTATTGCTCTATTTCCTGGTAAAATTGTGCCCACTCTGAGGATCAGGACCTCTAGCTCTGCAGAGTTCAAAGCTGCAATAGTGGGAAACAAAGAATCCTCCAGTGGGCCATTAGTAGTGATGATAAGTAGAGCAATGCCTGTGTCTGCCTTTTGTTTCTCAGACCATATATTCTTTCTGTTGGGGACATTATTTTGTAAAAAAGCCTTCAATCTAGTGAGTATTGTGCCTGGAGGGTGACACTCCATTCTTAAAAAGTTCTGTCCATGAGCTGGTGTTTTAGTTGTGCCCCTAGCAGGCCATTTCAATGCTCTATCAGACTAGCAGCTTCTGGATACTATGGCATAGATGTGACTATTGGATCCCATGACCACAGGAACACTCCTGCACCCCTTTGCTGAAAATTGGTTCCCCTGGTCTGGTATCATATTACATGGGATTCTGTGCCAGGATTGAATATGCCATAAACTCTCAGTGTGTAGATGAGGCCCTGCATGCAAGAAGGAAAACCTACACCTGGAATATCTGTTTCTGTGAGAATTAACTACTGGCCTTTCAAGGATGGAAGGGGCCCAATGTAGTTAACTTGCTACAGAGTCTGGTTAATTTTCTAGAGGTATGATGTCATAACAGGGATTCAGCACTGGTCTTTGTTGTTGGACATTGGACATCCAGTGGTAGGTGGCGCTAGCTATATCAGACCTTGAGTGGGAATGCATGTTGTTGGGCTTATGCACAGCTTCCAATTCTCCTAATGGGGCCACTTCATTAATGTGCTTTTTCTGCCAACACTGGGGGTAGTCAATAACAGAGATTTGATGGCATCAACTGACAGTTCTTTTGTTTACTTGGTTAGTTTTTGCCTCTTCTGTGATGGATACTTTCTGATGATTAACATGTGATACAAAGATCTTTACACTTTGTGCCCATTCCCATATATCCATCCATATTTCTGTACCCAATGCCTTCTTCTGATTTTCTAATCTTTTTTTTTTTTTTTTTTACTTTTAGGTACCTGACCAGCCAGCTAGGCCATTCTTCTTCATGGAAAAAGATGCAAAATATACCAATTTGTCTATTACTTTGGCCCTGCTCCTAACCACTGGACTCCTACTAAAAATATACTGGCATTGCAGACTCCGAAATCTTCTTAAGGTTAATCTCCCACTCTCTGGAGTGTATGTTTCTTAGCAAGGCCTCTAGCATCCCAGCCACCTCTTGTTCATTTGGCCCAGTCAATATAATGTAATTGATGTAATGGATCAGTGTGATATTCTTTGGGATGTCCAAATGGCACAGTCTCTTTGGACACATTATGACAGACAACATGAGTTAGCATAGCCTTGGAACAAAACTGTAAATGTATGGTCTTGTCTGGTTCATGTGAATTCGAACTCTTTTTGATCTTGTTTTCTGACTGGCATAGAAGAGAACATATGCACCATATCAGTGGCTTTTACTGTGTTATCTCAGGATGTATTACCTCTAGCAAAGATAGCACATCTGGCATAGTGGCTGTGACTGGGGCTGTTTGTGGGTTGAGTTTTGACAGTTTACAGTCATCATCTAGAAGCCAATCTTTTTTTGCAGGGGCTAGACTGGTGAATTAGATGGGATAGGATGGAGCCAATATTCTTTTACATTCTTAAAGTTGTTATTCCTTTGGAGTATGATATTGGTTTTGGTTTGGGTGAGGAGAAATTTCAGGGCCTTCCGTTTGGTTTTCCTCTCTATGCTAGTTCTTACACCAAGGACCAATATGGGGGTTTGGCCAATTGCTAAATATATTAATTCTAATTATACATTTGGAGACCAGGGAAATGACCACTAGATGACTCTGTGGACCTAGTGAATCCACTGTAGGTAGGGCCTTGCCCAGGACTACATTTATCCCCATATGCCTCTACACTAATAGGGAAGACATGATGATGTTTTCAGGCTGTTACATATTGTCAGTTCAATCTCTGTGCTTAATGGTCCTCAAAATGTCTTATATGCCCCTTTTCTCAATGTGTAGTTTCCCAAGTAAATGCCAGAGGTCCCTTTGGGGGACTAGGGAAATCATTACCATGAATAACTTGCCATGTGTTACAGGGATCTTCATTCTGTAGATCTGGCCACCTCTTTAGTCACTGAAAAATTGGCTCAGATCCCAAAACAGAGTTAGGGCTTGTTAATTTTTTTTGTCCACAATCACTCTCAGCCTCCAGTTATCTATCCTTAATTTATTCTCTTGGTATAAGCTGAGTTGTACCCCTTTTGGTTCTTCATCTAATTTTCCCCTAGGGACTCCATGTTCTGTTAACCATCTCTGTAACTCTAAAACTCTCTGCACATCAAGACTCCTTTGGCTGTCATTCCTGCCTTCTTCGTCATTATGATTGTTATGACTCCTTGGCTTTTGGCAGTAAACTGCTCACCTGGCTTCTCTTTTGGGGATCCTATTATCCCCATTACTATTTGTGAACCAAGTTCTCCTGCTGTCATCCCAAGCCTGTAGAGGAGAGCCATGACTAAATTTTTAGTGATGCTGGTGCCCCTCTAACTAGTATATTCTTTATGGTCTTGGTAAATTAAGTAGTGTGTTCTCTTGGTCTTCCAGTGGAACATAATAAACTGGTGGATCTTCTAGCTATACATATGTTTCGGTCTAGTTCCCTGAGCTTTTAATCCTATCCACTATTTGCCACAGCCATTCTGGCATTTCAGCTTTATTCAGTGTGGACAATCACTTTTTCTGTGTTTCTGGGAGCCAAGTTCACATTATTTCCTAGGGGTCCCTGCCAGGGTGTTAAATTCTTCATCTTTAGGAGGGTGGAGGACATGAGGAGATGTTGGTCAAAGGGCACAAACTTCTAGCTTTAAGATGAGTAAGTTCTGGGGAATCTAATGTACAGAATGGTGAATATAATTAACTATACTGTATTATATACATGAAAATTTTGAGGAGAGTAGATCTTAAATGTTATTACCACAAGAAAGAAATGTTAATCATGTGAGGGGATGGTGGTGTTCCTTAACTATATTGTGGTAATCATTTCACAATATATACCTGCATCTAATTATCATGTTGTACAGCTTAAAGTTAAATATGCTATATGTCAATAATATCTCAATAAAGCTTTAAAAATATTTAATCTTAGGAGAGTGCTCCTAAGTGAATAAACTCTTTCTTATCCAATTTTATGCTCTGGTGCTCTTAATTAAGTACCTTCAGAACCTAGTCCCACATGTACTTGCCAGGTTTTTGTTTTTAAACTGGCTAGATTTTGCAGCTTTTTTTTTTTAGTTTAAATTCAATTGGCCAACATATAGTACATCATTAGTTTTTGATGTAATGTTCAATGACTCATTAGTTTTTGCAGCTTGTATTAACCGTAGGTCCATTTCTCTCTTATAAGGACCAGCACTTCCTTGGCTGGGTTATGCTGCCATTTAATCCTAATTATAGGTCCAGGAGATAGGAGGGGGAGTAGGGCTAGGTACCAAGGAGGGTCCATGTTGCTTTGCCTGGCAGAGGCCTCTGAATTGTTTTCTAGAACCTGGATTGGAGATAGGTGGGGATGAATGGAAATGGGTTAGAGGTGGGTGGGAGGATAGAGATTGGAGGTATTAGCTCTTAGTAGGAAGGAGGCCACTTCTACAGCCTCAGTAGGTTAAAAGGAGTCTAGGGAGTCAAAAATCTTTGGGGAATATTCAGCAATATGTCCACATTACATCTGTCCAAGTCAGAGGTTTTCCCAACCAAGTTCCTGACCTTTATATTCAGACCTGCTTCAGTTCAGTTCCTCTGACAGTTAAATTCTGGGCTTGGTCCTTGCTTTGCTGCCTTCTTCCTGTGGAAATGAGAGCTTTTTTGTATACAGCTGAGAGGGTCTTCTGGCTTTCACATCTGGCTTTCAGTTACCTGTTTTTCACTCTTATTTGTCCATTATCTCTTGTAAAGCACCTGTGGGATTTAGAAGTACTAATCTAACCTCATTACCCTTATTGTTATTATTTCCTCCCTGCTAATACATTCCCTTCTACCAGTACATCCTAATTCACCACCAGGAAATTTTAACAACTGGATTACCAACTGGTGTTGTGTTCTACCTGCCCAACAGTGATGGGGTCCTCATTGTCAGGCAGTGAGTGCTCTTGTTGCAAAGCCCCATCTTATTGTGCATTTTTTGAGATTACTTCTAGCACCAACTTCTGGAGGTTGGGTTCTCTGGGAGTTGGCACTAAGACAGAATGCGGATGCAAGATGTTTGTTAGGGATGGATGAAGAGGCAGTATGGAACAGAGAAAGAAGTTGAACTGTGAAGTAGGCCTGACAAAGCCTTGGCCAACTCAATGGGAAGCTCTAGAGTTGTCCTATGTCATGCCAAATTTGCTGGGCCTTTAAATTACTTACTTCCTCAATCACTGGATGTGGGTTACCCTAGAAAACATATGATTTCTTTTCTTCTTTTGTTTTTTTTGAAAGGAGTGTATTTTATTGCTTTTCTCTGGGAGGTGTTCTTGTTTATTTATTTATTTATTATTTATTTATTTTTGATGCTTGACAATCTCTTTTTTTTTTTATCAACATAAAATATATTATTTGTTTCAGGGGTACAGGTCTGTGATTCATCCGTCTTACACAATTCATAGCACTCACCATAGTACATACCCTTCCCAATGTCCATTCCCCAGCCCCCCTCCAGTCCAGCAACCCTCAGTTTGTTTCCGGAGATTAAGAATCTCTTATGGTTTGTCTCCCTCTCTGGTTTCATCTTGTTTCATTTTTCCCTCCCTTCCCCTATGATCCTCTGTCTTACTTCTCAAATTCCTCATATCAGTGAGATCATATGATACTTGTCTTTCTCTGATTAACTTATTTCACTTAGCATCATACTCTCTAGTTCCATCCACATTGTTGCAAATGGCAAGATTTCATTTTTGATGGATGCATAATATTCCATTATGTGTATATATATATATATATATATATATATATATATATATACACAAATACACCACATCTTTTTTTTATTAAAGATTTTATTTATTCATTTGACAGAAAGAGAGAGACAGCGAGAGAAGGAAAACAAGCAGGGGGAGTGGGAGAGGGAGAAGCAGGCTTCCCGCTGAGCAGGGAGACCAATGTTGGGCTCAATCCCAGGACCCCGGGATCATGACCTGAGCCAAAGGTAGACGCTTAATGACTGAGCCACCCAGGCACCCCTCTTCTGCCCATTTCTTGATTGGATTATTTGTTCTTTGTTGAGTTTGATAAGTTCTTTATAGATTTTGTATACTAGCCCTTTATCTGATATGTCATTTGCAAATATCTTCTCCCATTCTGTCGGTTGTCTTTTCGTTTTGATGACTGTTTCCTTTGCTGTGCAAAAGATTTTTATCTTGATGAAGATCCAACAGTTCATTTTTGCCCTTGCTTCCCTTGCCTTTGGTGCTGTTTCTAGGAAGAAGTTGCTGTGGGTAAGGTCGAAGAGGTTGGTTCCTGTGTTCTCCTCAAGGATTTTGATGGATTCCTGTCTCACATTGAGGTCTTTCATCCATTTTGAGTCTATTTTTGTGTGTGGTGTAAGGAAATGGTCCAGTTTCATTCTTCTGCATGTGGCTTTCCAATATTCCCAATACCATTTGTTGAAGAGACTGTCTTTTTTCCATTGGACATTCTTTCCTGCTTTGTTGAAGATTAGTTGACCATAGAGTTGAGGGTCCATTTCTGGGCTCTCTCTTCTGTTCCATTGATCTATATATCTGTTTTTGTGCCAGTACCATACTGTCTTGATGATTACAGCTTTGTAATAGAGCTGGAAGTCTGGGATTGTGATGCCACCAGCTTTGTTTTTCTTTTTCAACATTCCTCTGGCTATTCGGGGTCTTTTCTGGTTCCATACAAATTTTAGGATTATTTGTTCCATTTCTTTTAAAAAAGTTGATGGTATTTGGATAGGGATTGCACTGAATGTGTAGATTGCTCTAAGTAGCATAGACATTTTCACAATATTTGTTCTTCTAATCCATAAGCATGGAACATTTTTCCATTTCTTTGTGTCTTCCTCAGGTTCTTTCATGAGTATTCTATAGTTTTCTGAGTCAAGCCTTGCAAGTTTTCCTTCCATTTCTATTTTTTGGAACAGTTTCAGATTCTTTGCCTCTTTGGTTAGATTTATTCCTAGGTATCTTATGGTTTTGAGTGCAATTGTAAATGGGATCAACTCCTTAATGTCTCTTTCTTCTGTCTTGTTGTTGGTGTATAGAAATGCAACTGATTTCTGTGCATTGATTTTATATCCTGCCACTTTACTGAATTCCTGTATGAGTTCTAGCAGTTTTGAGGTGGAGTCTTTTGAGTTTTCTATATAAAGTAGCATATCATCTGCAAAAAGTGAGATTTTCACTTCTTCTTTGCCAATTCAGATGCCTTTTATTTCTTTTTGTTGTCTGAATCCTGTGGCTAGGACTTCTAATACTGTGTTGAATAGCAGTGGTGATAGTGGACATCCCTGCCATTCTCCTGACCTTAGGGGGATAGCTCTCAGTTTTTCCCCATTGAGAATGATATTTGCTGTGGGTTTTTCATAGATGGCTTTTATGATATTGAGGTATGTACCCTCTATCCCTACACTCCGAAGAGTTTTAATCAAGAAACGATGCTGTACTTTGTCAAATGCTTTTTCTGCATCTCTTGAGAGGATCGTATGGTTCTTGTTCTTTCTTTTATTAATGTATTGTATCACATTGATTGATTTGCGGATGTTGAACCAGTCTTGCAGCCCAGGAATAAATCCCACTTGGTCGTGGTGAATAATCCTTTTGATGTACTATGGATCCTATTGGCTAGTATTTGGTGAGAATTTTTGCATCCATGGTCATCAGGGATATTGGTCTGTAATTCTCCTTTTTGATGGGGTCTTTGGTTTTGGGATCAAGGTAATGCTGGCATCATAAAATGAGTTTGCAAGTTTTCCTTCCATTTCTATTTTTTGGAACAGTTTCAGAAGAACAGGTATTAATTCTTCTTGAAATGTTTGGTAGAATCCCCTGGGAAGGCATCTGGCCCTGGGCTCTTGTTTGGTGGGAGATTTTTGATTACTGCTTCAATTTCCTTACTGGTTATGGGTCAGGTTTTCTGTTTCTTCCTGGTTCTGTTTTGGTAGTTTATATGTCTCTAGGAATGCATCCATTTCTTCCAGATTGTCTAATTTGCTGGCATATAGTTGCTCATAATATGTTCTTAGAATTGTTTGTATTTCTTTGGTGTTGGTTGTGATCTCTCCTCTTTCATTCATGATTTTATTTATTTGGGTCCTTTCTCTTAAAAGTCTGGCCAGGGGTTTATGAATCTTATTAATTCTTTCAAAGAAGCAGCTCTTAGTTTCGTTGATCTGTTCTACTGTTCTTTTGGTTTCTGTTTCATTGATTTCTGCTCTGATCTTTATTATTTCTCTTCTCCTGCTGGGTTTAGGCTTTAGTTGCTGTTCTCCAGC